TAAACAAAAGGCCTCATTCAGATTTAATTACGGAAACTATTCAGAAACGTCTTTGAAAACAGATAATTAGAAATTCGTATCTTCTTTTCGCCGACTACTTTAGTACTTTTTGATTTACGTAAACCAGATACATGTCTACAGACACATCTGTAAATAAAGTACAATTTTAATGCACCCGAGATGGTATCTTTAAGCGTTTTATGCCTTATAACAAAGCAAAGCAACTGGGAAGTGTCTGGGAATCCATCTTGTGAATGGTTATTCGAGGAAACATTTTTTTTTCTGTTGTGTTTTTTATACTTGATCACTTTCTATTCGAAAGAAGCATCTCGGAAAGCTCGATGTGAAGATCGCTATACAGTATTCCCGGAATGTTTCCACTCATTTCTTTCCCTCAAATAATTAGAATTAAATTTGTCCCACTTGGGCACATCATAGTGAATTAATACATTTCAGAAAAAAACGATTAAAATTTTCATGTGAATTGGAGAATGAAGAAACACTTGAAAGAAGCAGGATTCGATTGCCGGACTGCCATGAAGACCAATTTTAGAAAAATACCTCATTAATGTCGATATAATTCTAATACTCATAATGAATTTCGTATAACATATATTATGATGCACAATGAGGCATAGCATTCACTGACTCAATTGCGGTCCGTAGACAATCATCTTTGAAGATTGTTGGAAAACAAATCATGTTGTCAAGGTTCTGATTATTAATACATTCCTGGATGACTGTCGGCCTTTGTGCTCAAAAGCACGGGATCCAGTTCTGATGGGCCGACGTGGGCGTTATGACAACATTGGATGGAAGTTTTCCAGGGTTCTGTGGAATGTGACACTTTTCGGGTCTTGAGATATTGGACGTTGGATTGGGGGAACGCTTTTGTGTTGCCGTGACATTTCAGAAGCTTTCGCCTCCTCCCCTGGAGGGGAAAACCCACATATTTGCCTTCCGATTCGCAAGTAACTGCAAACATATCGCAGGGGTTCTGTTCAAGGCTGCCCTGCTTCTTATTATATAGTGGTTTTCCTGGAAAGCTTTTCCTGGAGTTCCAACGTGAATTATACCAAAGGGTTCTGCCACTGGAGTAATTTCACACCATTGCCTCTTCTTCGCATTCTGCTTTTATTTTTACTGTATACATACGTGTGGTCAAATCTCTCTTATAGTCAAATTTCAAGGGACCAGAAAAATTCAACTTGGGGAGGTTTTGAGTTAGGAAAAACAAGTATTTTGTTGTTGTAAGAATTGCAAAATATTGTGACCAGCTAATGATTTTCGGGAATATCCCTTGTGAAAAATACCAGGAAACAGTGCTTTCCATCAGAATTGTACATTCCAACGAGAGCAACTCTTAAAATATCCAGCATGAGTTTTTGTTTTGTTTTACGTACTTATTCGCATCGAGTCATATTGTGACCTTTCACAGATCATTTGATCTTTTTGACATATCACATTAGAAAAAAGTATTTCTTCCACGCCGAAGTTTTATACGTCATCCAATGACCAGCTCAAAAAAGCATGCGCGACACGTATAATTACGATTCGAGCAATTGACGTCGATGCATCCAGGGAAAGAAATACATGAAAAATTAGCCTGCTGAAGCGTAGAAGTTTTATACGTCATCCAATGACCAGCTCAAAAAAGCATGCGCGACACGTATAATTACGATTCGAGCAATTGACGTCGATGCATCCAGGGAAATAAATACATGAAAAATTAGCCTGCTGAAGCGGTTGGTGAAGTGGCACGCTAATTGACCGACGCCATTATTAATGTAACAATTTTCTCGCCAGCAAAGCGGTTGGGGGTCGAACATTCATGACTCCCTTCTGTGCTTAATTGATTGGGTAACAATAAAAATATAGTTCCCATTCTTATGCAATAATGCAACTTGTTGTTGAACATTTTTAATAGTAGGCTTATAAAGATATCCGCGAAGAGTGTTTTTGAAGAACGAACGTGACGAGGTCCTGGTTTTTCCAATTTTCAATTCTTATTAATAAAATAGGGTTGCCATCAAAAAACAGATGACCGACTGCTCAGTTTGTGAACGATTCATGTAATTATCAGAAGTATTTTTTTCATTTTTGGGAGCTTATCACTGTGAGTGAGATGTTTGGGAATACTGAAACTGCTTTCGGATCGCTTTATTTCTTTTGTTGCAAGATGTAAATAAATTCGATGCCGGATCATTTGAAAACTTTCGGTGTTCGTAGAACTTCATTTCAAAAATCCCAGAACTTGAGATTTTAAATTCTGGATTGATGGGAAAATTTGGAATTAATCGTTTAATACTTGTTTAGTCTGTCTTAAATTGACTTTACAATAAGCGACTCCTGATGCGTTTCTCGACATCATTTCTTCATATGTAGAAATATATTTGTTACCAGCAATATATTTCGAATGAAATTCCCAACCCATGACAGAGAAGAGCAATCCGCTGAAGACTAATGCCATCTACATGAGCAACACTTAATAAGTTATATTAGGTCTAAAAGAAAACACAGCAGCCAACATAAAAAAAAGTCTTGAAATTTAATTTTGAACAAAGAGAGGCTAAATGACTGCCCTGGAATACGAGGTTCAAGGAATACGCACAAAAGGCTTTTTGACATCTGCTGAGAGCCCCTGAAAAGGTCCAACTTATCTTTATTTATTTTTGGCGAATTGAATTCCCTGAGATGAGTAGAAGCACTCAGTTGGCACATTTTGATTTAATAAATGACCTAAGGGGATCGCTTGCGTCAGCAAATAAAAAAAATAGCGTGACCTAGTCCATCCTTATATTGCGTATGTGATACCCTTATACAGTATATGTAAGTATCTTAGTAATTTTTTTTTTGCAGTGATGGCGACCCTTCAACATAAACCCCTTTTTCCCTCAGAACAATGCCCTCGAGTTGTTAACCAAAAAAGGGACGTCGAAACCAGGTTTGTGCATTTCTGTGAGCAAGGGGATGGTAATCAGGAAGATCAGCTGATTTTACGCACTTCACTTCGCAATAAAGAGCGAATTGCATCATTAGCTTAAGGTATATTCATTTTCTTTCCCTTCTCTGCAGAAATTTTTTATGGTGCAATTCGGTTGGGTGAAATTTTTACGACCATCAGGAATGAATGAAAAAGGCTGTGAGTGCGCTTTGTTTCACGCGAACCTTTTCTGGTTTATGATCTAAAAATAGATTAGTGACGAAGTTTTGATGAGAGTAAGAGCTTATTGATTTTTTTAAACTTTCTCAGATTTAGGCAATGCTTTTAAAAGGGAGATGGAATTGAATCAAACAAAACTCAGCCCTATGCGAAAGTTCGTCTCATTGGAATGAAAACTGGGCCTGAACTTCAAAAATTCACGAACTAAATCAAATATTAAAGTTCTAGTAATTTTCTCAACGATTTATACCAGGAATTAGGGTTTCCCGTTGTCATCTATAAAACGTGAAATGGGTGAAATAATTTGCTCTGTTTTTCCAAAGTTCTATTCGTATTAACCTTGATTTAAAAAAGGAAAATAAATGTCGCTACGTTGAATGTGTAAGGCAGAAAGAGTCTGGGCGAGGATGGGGTTAAGTTCTTTCAAAAACTAGCCCTATTTGAGTATTTTTGACTTTTAACTATACACAAAGTTGCACTTTTTAATTTGTAGTACATAGTCGTAATATAAGTTTTTCGTCTTAATACATGAATCGAGAATGGTTGGCATGAACTCAGGAATGTTTTGCAGGTACTGAACTTGATTTCCGCCAGGTCTCAGAAACAGCAGTAAAATGAAAGATTCCTTTGCTTCATGGTTGAGAAGGATCTGGTTCTACTAATGACAGCGACCATGACAGAACCATGCTCCGAATGCCATCGCAGTTTTTCATGCATTTACCTTTACCATGACATGCGAAGGAGACCAGTTTGATTGATCGTCCATTCGAAGCTGTTTCTGGCTTTCGTGTAGAAGAATATTCCGCCTAATACCCGCACACGCTCTTTTTTTTTCTCGATTTGATTCATATTTCATTTTCTTGGAAACAGAAACAAAAATACACGAACGCATTTGTTTAACGAGATCTGGAGACTTTTTGTCCTTCGAATGATATGAACCCCTTTTTTCGAACAGCTGATAAATCGTTGAAATTTTTTTTCTCATACTTATCTTGTTCAAGATCCCGAAAGCTTGTTCATGCCAGAAATTGCTGTGATATTCGTCTCGTTAAAAAATTAATTTTTGGGTTACAGTCGGCTGACTCAGCCTACCCATCCATCTAAATTGACAGTCATTTGGTAACCTTTCGTAAATTTTTAAATAATAAAGCGAACTTGTCTTTGTCCAGTGTCGGCTGGCCTCTTTACATAGTTGTTTGTTAGTACTCATGACGACATACGACGAACTAACGAGAAAGAAGTCGCGACCAGTTGAAATAAATCCTGTTCTTTGCTGTCTTTAGGCGGATTTTAATGGCCAAGAGATTTGAATATACATCTTGGATGAGTTGGTCTCAAGAATAAAAATCAGTTGATCCCAGCACAAAACTGAAAGAGGATAATCATATTCCTCCACAATCGTATAGCTTACTTTAAATATTTTTAAACCAGCTTACAGAAATGAAAAACGATTGATGGTCTTCAGATATTTGCTAATATATTTGAAGTGTGAACCGTGTCATGCCTCATCGCATTATTTTCCACAGAATAAAAAACAGTTTCATAATTTGGACAAATTTCGAAAACAGGATACCATTGCGCAGTTGTACGTTGAAAATTCGACAGCAGTTCGAATTTTGAGCAAAAAAAAACGCTACCATTCTGTTAATTTCTCTTTTTACACGAAGCCTGGGATGGGAATTTTGATAAACTATAGAAAGCAGTTTAAAACGAGACTGTCGTTTGCGATTCTACTCGGAAATGTTACTGCACAAAGTTGTATGTAAGAGTCTTATCTTTGTTATTTGGGTCGTTAAACTACATGAAATCACGCAGTAGTACAGCAAAGAACTCTGCCATGGACAAGCGTACTGTCGTACGCTTGGTCGAGCAGGATATCAAAGCGAATTGTTCGCATCTGCTGGTGGCCATTTGCAAATCCTATACGAGCTTTCTGCTTAGGCAAGTAAGAATGATGGAATGCCACGCATATTCCGCAGGGTTTTCACATATCTGCCGTTTTGTATTCCGAGTACAAAGAAGACTCTTTAGGAATGCAAATAAATTTTCGTGTGGGTGGAAATGGTGAGGGAAAAGTCAACAAAGATGACCAACCGACTGGGTGTTGAATGTCTATTGAGTCCCAAATATTCATACCTTGAGTGACGTCCATGCGGAGTGATGCGTATTTTTTTACTTTTTCTTTCAAAATTTCACATTTGAAAGAAGAAAAAGCGCTGTTTTTCGAAACTGAGTTCCGTTTAGAGCTCCAGACTTTTTTATTCATACAATAATTGCTACAAAGCACACTATACACATGGAAATTGATCATTTATCTGATACGAATATTCCATCAGGGAAAGGAGTGAAAACTTCAATTATTTGCAATGAGGCGATGAATTTTATTTAAATTTGAAAGGCTTAAAACATTTCTAAAAATTTAACAAGCAAATCAAAATTGCACTACGGAGGAAACGTCATTTTAAAAATTAGGAATTGCTCAAAACTCACGGGAGGGTATTAATTTTTTCATGTCGAATTTTCCGAAAATATGAAACCACCAAAATTCAAAATACAATGTTTTCCTGATAAAACCGAAATGTGCCTATTTTCGGTTCAACATGTAATAAGCTAAATGTGATGGAAAAATCGCGTTAAAATCGTTGTTCCGAAGAAAGGGAAACGTTTGCACGTGATGTGAATCTATCGTCGACTACCGTAAACGCATTTTTGGTAATTTCGGGATAAGTCCTTACTTAATTATTATAAGCTCTATAAGCATAAGAAATAGTATATATTTGTATTATCAAACCTAAACTTATTTCTTTCAGCCGCCTTTTTTAAAATTAATTATTACATAGAGGCTTGAAAATGGTACATGGATGTGAACTTTCTCGGTTCCTTTGTCAAAATGTATTCCAATGATATTCCTGTCACGCAACTACGAACAACAAAACGCATGATTCAAGCATAAATCCAGTTTTTTAAACCTTGGGATTATTGTTAGTAAGTGTGACGCATTCACATTACATTTACTGTAATGCAGGAAAGTGTTAAAAGGTTGTTGTTGATAAAAATGTTATGGGTTTCCGTCTTCTAGAACGAGAAATGTCACTGGCAAAGGATTGTGACCTGAGATAACAACGCATACCTGCTACTTTATTTTTTTTCAACCTCAACCGGTTGACCCTATGCTGAATATTAAAATTATTGCTTGTTCTCACGCATGTGAAACGTAGTTTAAAAATCAGCTGATGGCATTTGCGTAAAAACCATTAAAGCCCTATTCAGGAATGAATTAATAATATTCGAGATATTCGTATTCTTTATCATATATAAACATAATAGTTTGGATTTGAATAAAGAAAGTCGGCGGAATTTTTAATGAATTATTACATGGAGGCTTGAAAATGTTACATTGATATGAACTTTCTCGGTTCCTCTGTCAAAATGTGTTCCAATGATATTCCTGTCACGCAACTACGAACAACAAAACGCATGATTCAAGCATAAATCAAGTTTTTTAAACCTTGGGATTAGTATAAGTGTGACGCATTCACATTGCATTTACTGTAATGCAGGAAAGTGTTAAAAGGTTGTTGTGGATAAACATTTTATGGGTTTCCGTCTTCTAGAACGAGAAATGTCACTGGCAAGCCTAACACTGGACTCTATTGTTGCGTATGGACGATGAAATAAAAAAAAGTTGGAGTTGGCCAACTGGGATACGACTTATAATTTTAATAACGAACAAGAGTGCGTACACTTTGCATCAAATTTTTAGAATGAATCTCTTTTTGCGCAGTTTGACGATGACTCACCATCGGTTTCCATGCAATAGACTCGAGTTCAACGAACTTGTTGATCAAATCTTAAAAATAAAAAAGAACGTATAGAAAATAACCTCGTTATAAATAAAACCTGCTTACGATGACGCTTTTTACCTTATCCACATTGATCCAGGTTTCAATGAATTCCAGCTTTCAATGAGATTCTATAATATAGTAGCTCCATTATAATATGAGGAAAGCATGAACTGAACCCACTCTTTCCCCCCTCAGGAATTCCTTCGAACTCGTGGGGGAACTCACACGGATTAAGGGTTTTGCGGATTTCGTATTCAGATCACGAGCTGTATGTGTGTGAAGTGATGGGGGTTCATTTGTAAGATCGTCACACGCTTTCATATACAGCAGTAGTGGAGTTCCGTGTGGAGTGTCTTCCGAGCTAAGATTAGCAATCTGCGTGAAGGAAATTGAGTTTTCTCTTCAGGAGTTTCCATGCATCTCCGCAGAAACGCTTTCTTGAACCCTAGAATCTCTGTAATGATGTGGAGGGAAGAGGGTGTGTAGAGCAGCAAAAAAGGCTACGCATTTTTTTAGGCCCTTTTTGGTTGAAATCCGCGTGAGGCATTGCATCAAGGTTCTGGTATGATCAAAGAAATCTCTCTTTTTCCCTGCACTTTTGAAGGAATAAATCTACGATAATTTAAAAACGAATGAAAGCGACACCGTAACGTGCGAAATGTGTTCTATTCTGGGATATATACTGTATTAATAGTAAAAAGCAAAAATCAGAAGAACAGGGCTCGAAAGATGAGCCACAAATTATGAAGTTCGCAAGAAACTAAACACGATTATAGTTGAAAATATTTGTCCAATTTTCCGATTTTCAATTTTAAGAAAAAATATCCGCTTTACATCAAGAATGTCTCGGGAATATTGAAGTCGTTTGCTCAAATATCACTGCAAACTGGTGAAGTGCAAAAAATTGTCCTGAAATCTTCTTTAATCCTCTGTCTCAGAGATTTCATGAGAGATCAGCAAAAGCCTGTTTTCACTTCGCATTATACACAGCACCTGTTCCAAATAAAATGTACAGAGGTGACGAAACGTACTATTTGCTTTAAAATGCAAATATATCATGTAAAACGTTTGCGTGACCATTACTGTATGGGGGCTGTTTTCGCATGATGAATAATGCATTGGGGAAATTTCAGAGAAAATTTCCTGAACTGCTGACCCAAACAACTTTTACGTCTGATTCTGTCAGAACTGAGGGTTTATTTACGTATGAAAGGTATGACATTGCCGATCAAATTACGACACGCACATATAAGTTGGGAAATTCTCGAAAATGTGCTTGAATAAAATATGGAATGAGAATTGTTGAAATCCTTCTGAACGATTTCATCGTGAAGCCTTTCAATCTCGTAAAAGTCGTTCTTCCGAAAATGACATGAGAAAAGCGCGATTATAATTCAAGAGGTGTTCTTCAAATATTTGTCAAAATCGAACACGACTCAGCAGATGAAACGAAACAAAAACAAAAAACATTTCCACACTGATTTTGCCCCCGTAATTGAGTCGTTTAAAGCAGAGGAATAATTATAAAAAAAAATGTTGGTTGACGAAATTCTTCAATTTAAGTTTGTCAATTGAATTTGCTTGTTTCCAAAGTTATTAAGTCTCTGATTCTGTTTGATAAGAAAAATCCAGAATAAATTTTTTGACGCTCAATTAAACATTACTGTATTTCAATTTACTATATTTAATAAAACAACGTTTACTAATATTTTATGCTTGTTGTATCTAGCAAAAGAGGAATTCTCAAAGTTTTCCTTTAGTTTGAGTATTACATCTGGTGCTTTCATGCGAAAATCAGCAATACTTTCATGATAGCTATCTCTTTACACATAAAATTTCCCAGTTTCCATGCAACAACAAAAATGTCAAAATTTGTGTAAATTCAGGAATAGTATTTTCAAAATTAGCCCGAGTTCTCATGCGCGCTGGAGCGTGTGATTCTCAGTAATAACTCAATGGTATTCCCAGAAAAAGGCTTTGATTTACCTGATTTTGTCCCATTTTTCATACAAGACAAGGCATTTTTGTGGCACTGAATGGGGGTTTCCTTTAAGAACACGATGGAGGGCCGGAGATTTGTTCCAGGGAAATTTGTGGCGCTTTGCAAGAGTGGCACTAAATCAAAGCTTGACTATTTTTCTTCTGATTATTAAGAACATAATTTTGTTTTCGTCTCTTCAGTTCAACGGATGCGACCATGCAGTAAATTTTTCTTTACAAAATTAAAATACGCGTTCGGCATCTTTGTTTTTAAACAGCCCTGGTAAAACCTTTCAAACATTTGTGCTATAGCGCATGGTACCTCTGCGGATTTAATTACAGTTCCTGGAATCTCGTTTTCCGCATTTGCATTTCACTCCCACAAAATTTTGAATATATGCATGCATGCGTTGCATTTCATTTGACGAGAAGCTTCCACTGTGAGGATTTCCTATAGAACAGGAAACTGTGGATCATGAATTTATCTCTCAAAAAGCTCTGAGTAAATTTAAATATGCGAATGTTAATTATTTTTAGAAAAACAACGAGCGACGAACATCAATGCATTCATGGAGTGTTTTTGTTGATTTTATTCAATTTTCCTCGTGGCACGAAACCCGCAGAAATTGTTTAACCTGCCAAATAGAAGATAATTCATAATGTTCTTCAGTTATTTCATTGATGAAAAAAAAGAACTCGTAGGCTGGAACAATCATGCGATGATTCAAGGATTTTATCTACCTCATCTCAATATTGGAAAGATTCCAAGAATGCGTGAGAAGGTGTCTTTTTTCCATTTGGCTCGGAAATGTATACCGGGGGGAAGGTTCTGCTGAATATGCGATCATGGTTCTGGGTGCGATGCCTTGAAAAATGGGGCAACCCACGAGGTCTAGAGAAGAGATCCTGAGGCACGAGAACTGAGCTCTAGCTTGAAACTAATCGTACTGCCTTGCCTATTCCTTCTTCTCCTGATGTTTATATTCCCCTCAAGTATTCTCGTCTTTTCGAGGACATGCGAAGAATCCACGTACTTCTGCTCAGACACCCACACAAAAAAAGCACAAAATGCAACGATTTCTGGAATATATAGAAAATTATAATATCTCCATCCAATTTG